TATAACTTCCATCCCCCTAGCCAGCAACTGTCCAGCTTCCCCAGGTAACTGACAGAATGCTCTCACGTATAAATGGGCTTACCAATTGCATTTAGCGTGTATTAAGCAGACGGGTGTCAAAGCTATACTTTATTCTGCTCAGCAATTCCGTGGTTGATGTGTAGTAAACAAATAAAGATACCTAAACCCTAAACCCTAAACTCTTGATGTGTATCTTCAGATCATTTCCATGCACACGTGTATGTGTTTGTGTATTCAACCGTAGCAGTTTACTTTCCCTCGAGTGTTATCGTATAACTTAGGAAGTATATGTACGTACTCCTGTGACGCAGGTGTCACGTCCGTCTCTGACGCCGGAGTGTACTGGACACGTGGACATGTCGAGGCGTGGAGGAGAGCCGAAGCAGAAGGCATGCTTACTGCAAGAGCTAGCAATGCGCTGTATCTCTTTCCTGATCGCGAATACACAAGTCAGGTATTGTTTGACTATGTGGGTTAGTCGTCTATACTTCTGGGTTCGTTTTTTATACTTCTAGGATAGTTAGCACATATAGGCGTGGACGGTATTATGGATAGAGGTGTGTTGGTCTGGTCGACGGATACTGTTCTCACCCAGTGCCAAGAAGCCATGTGTGTCTTCCAATGTCCAGCGACCTGTTTTTCTCGGGTTTCTGGAGATCATTAACAGACGGCTACAGTTTGTATTAAAATATTTCCATACCATAGCAGACTATGAAGCAAGGAAATTGTAAAAGCTCATACAAAGCTCGCTATTCGGATATCATGCAGGTGACGGCTCTGACTGAGTTCTATTCCAATAACCAGAGCAGCCTACTGAGGTTCAACACTATCAAGGCCTACGCAGATGGTATACTCGACTTAGGCACTGCCGCACTCTTAAAACCGGCACGTGAACCCATTGACACCAGTCTGCCGGACGGCATGCTGTACTTCACCCCCGAGGTGTTGCAGAATTATACGAAGGACCTGGCAGCAGTGGTAGGGCTGTGAACTAGACCGAATTAAACGTCAGACGTTCTGCTGTGCTGTTTGTCGTGTTTCAAGGGATTCTCACCGGTTTATATGAATGTGTTTATGCTGATGCCTTATTATGTGTGCTCACAACCTTAAATCGCATACATATCAATATCAGGGTTTCAAGTTCCACTACCATGCCGTCGGAGATCGCGCTGTTCGTGTGTCTCTGGACTCTTTAGAAGGGCTACCAGAGGCAAGCCAAACAGACAGGGCACACCGGACGACGCACACCTATCTGGTAAGTACTCGCCGTGAATCAGCGACAACTCCTTCGGTTCGTGTTAAACTTACTTATAGTGCATATCGTTAGTTATTGTAGATGATTTTAGTTGCACAATATTCTTTGATCATTCATCGCTTTGAGATTCTCCGAGCAGATGTTATAAACGATACCCGTGCGATGATCTATGTGTACACCCATTGTTGGAATTGATCAGGTAGCTATATTTAATAGCATAATTGGATACGCATTCGAATTTACTGATCACTACAAGTGCTGCATAGAGTGCTATGTCTCTTTGTATATATAT